ACGAAAATGCAGACAAGAGACCGTCGAAGTCTCCGCCACGTGCGGCCGATGCGCATGTCGTTTCATCCCAAGGGCAGCCGCTTCTCCGAAGCAACTCCAGAATGTCGTCACACCCGCCTAGCGCAGCACCGGCGCACGCCCGCCTACTGTACACAACTGCTGAGGTGGATCAGCTGTAGGGATGGAACCTGTTTTTCTTTTTCGCCTTCCTCGGCACTCGCTATTCTATTCTTCGGCTGCGTGTGTCGTTCCTCCTACAACCCCCCCACCCGCCCCTGTCCGTCCTCGTCTGGACTACTGTGCCCCTTTTGGTTTCAGAGCAAGTTATCCCGCTCATGCGCTGGGTCCGCGAATGCTGCGAGCCGGGCAAGAAGGACGAGCAGGTGCGCAACGAACGATGTCGATGTCGCTTCTTTTCTACAAAAGCGCTTGTGAAGGATAGATAGATGTATGTAGGTGTCGCGGTATCCGACGGCAAGAAGCAAGCACACGTGTGTGGGGGATGCGGCGAGACCACGTCACATAGGAGATCGCAATTTTGGCGCCATGTAAAGAACAACGTTTCCTGCTGTCGACCTGCCTCAAGAAATGGCGTGTTATAGAAAGGGTTGTAGATATATTTGAGGCTGTCGGTCACGTTTATTTTTTGGAGGGTGTCGTTCATCCGCTCCCCGCCGACGCAAGGGGATAAAAACGGTTTCAGTTTTTTTTTTTTTTCACCTGCGAGCCTGTTATATATATATATATATTTTTTTTTTTAATGTTTTCGCTCGAAAGGTGGCGTGGGGGATGCACTGCCTTTGCAGCGCCCTCAAGTTCCTGCACGAGGACTGCAAGTTCTACCACAACAACATCAGCACCGACACTGTCTTCGTCACGAGGTGATTGATTTGATCGATCGAGCGTGCCCTGGCTTGGTCCATGGCACTACTCTCCCCTTTCTTGCGTTAGAACGCTAGGAAAAAGTGCATATTTTTCCCATCTTTTTTTCTTTATATGCACATAATCCGTCAATATGTTCATGTCAGTCCTTCTCCTCATATTGGTATGCGATCAAACATCAGTGGCATCACCTCCCACGGAATGTAGCAGCCACTTGTCCCTTGCTCCGTACTGGTAACTGTCCTGTCTGTCCTTTGACATGGTTACTCAGCACCCCGGTATCGTCTTCCTCTGTCTGCGGTGCCCCCGGCCGTGCCTTCCCCAACACCACGTCGGAGCGCAACGTAACGCTGACAAGTCTTGGGCGTTCCACAGGCCAGAAGTCGCGAGACATGCCCTTTTTCCTGAGCCTATATAAGACGTCCATGGACCCGTTGCTCTGAGCAGTAGGAACCATCGCGAGGATACCAATCTTGGTTTTTGTAGGGGGTGCCGGGTGGGGTTAGGGATAGGGAATACGAGACCCCCCTCTGTGTTTCATGCTACTCTGCCCGGAAATATAGGGACCATTGGGACAATCACATTTGTGTCTGAATAGTCCTATAATTCCGAAACAGAAGGGTTGTAGGTTAACAATACAGAGTCCGAACAGAAGGGTTGTAGGTTCACAATACAGATTCCGAACAGAGGTGTAGGTTAACAATACAATCCTTCGCGAAGGCGGCACCACGCTAACGCCTCTCTTGGTGATTGAACTCCTTTGTCGGGTCACTTGACTGAACTAACTGCTTTGTGCAGTGGCGGTGACTGGAAACTTGGGGGGATGGACCTTTTGTCCCCGCTTGGAGGGAAGGACTACTCCATCGCAGAGAGGCGGGGGCTGCAGCCTCGACAGTTTCAATCCGCGGAGAGGAACAATGACGACTGGTGGCGGTATTCGGTGAGGATGGGAGGGACGGGTCCTGGTTGACTTTCGTCGCTCGCCTGTAGTGAGTGTGAAGTTGGGTAGGGTCGCTCTTCTCCGTTCCTCTCTTTTTCTCTGTCTCTGTATCTGTCTCGTTTGTTTTGTCTGTCTCTCTCTATCTCTCTCCCTCTCTCAATATGGTGTAAGTTTATGTCCACCTCTCCACTTCTCGATAACGATAACGCCCGTGCAAGCTGAAAGGTTCTTGAGCGCTAGCGCGAACTTTTTCCCCACGCCTCCTGCCGTTTTCCGTCCCGTTTTTTTAATATATTTCTGTTCACAATATTGCAGCCGACGTTGGATGGAGGAGGGGTCCACATGCCCATCCACTGCATGGACGTCTACGCCCTCGGCCGCCTGCTGGAGCGAGTTTATCCCGAGGGGACCCCGTCAGGGTTAGACAGGTGATGAGGACGGAAACAAGCGTAATTGTACCGCAGCTTGCACTGGAAAACACCGCCACCACCACACCGCATGAACCGATTTTTGCAGCCTCAATTTATCCGGAGTGAAAATAGGGTGGCGTCGAGCCCTGTCCGAGAGCGATTACGGCAGGCACCGTCTTCGTCGGGCGGTGCAATCGAAAGGGGGAGTGTTATCTTACGTCATGCGTCACGAAAACGCTTCTTTGAGCTCCTGCCTGGAGTCCGGCCTGAAGCCGGAACTCGTACGCGAGGGGTAGTAGACACGGGTGCCACTAGTGCGATCTGAATACAATATAGTGGTGAAGACCGATAGTTACCGCGCCGGAACTGCGCTCTGCGTAATAGTACCGCAGACAAACCCATGGCGGGTTCGAAACATACATCGCTACAGCACACTCTCGGGGCGTCACGTTCATTGCTTGTCCAACCCGTCGCAACACCAAAAAAAATGCGTGAATGTCGCACAGGTACGTTGGCAAGATGCTGCTTCCAGAGCCGACGAAGAGACCAACGGCGTCCCAGTACCTGCGGTGCGCCTTTCTCAGGAAGCAGACCGTCAAGGATCTCACGGCGTTAGAGGTGAAGTGAACGTCACACGCACAAGCGCCGAAGGAAAGCTTAACATTGAGGAACCAACCCCCCACTCTTTTGTTTGTTTGCGGGTGATGCACGGGTCCGAAAACAAGTTTATAAAAGCCAGGGTTCTTTCGTCCGCACTGCTGTATTATAGTGGTTCTTGAGGCGTGTTTGAGGAGAACGCGCACCCCTATTTTTTTTTTTTCTTGGCGATGATGCACGGGTCCACAAGCAGCTAGCACAAGCGATTTCCCTCCTTTGTCCGCTCTACAGTGGTTGTCGAGGCCTGTGCACGCGCATGAGCAGCACAAGCCCGTCGGCTAGGCGATGGCGTCAGAGTACTACTACAATGTTCAAGCGGATTAGCGTTAATCTACCCTACCGCCTTGTTTGATGCTTGCTCACGGTTGTGCAATGGCCTTTTCTTTTTCCTTGGCTCGCCCGCGCGTGGGTCTGTTCGACGATTGTGTTTTTCGCTTCCGACAGATGTCGCATCACAATTATTTTTTGCTTGTTTTCTCGTACAAGTAATATTGTGACGCTTTCTCGCTTTTGTTCCCTTCTTTTTTTTTTTCCCGAGCAGCTTTTCTCGGTCAAGAGTCCGGAGGAGAAGGCGGAGCTTCTGCAGAGATTCGCGATCGAATCGCACTCGAAACAGGTGGGCGTGTTTTTGTTGTTTGTTGTGTGGTTGTGGTTGTTGTTGTTGTCGTCGTCGTTAGTAGTGGTGGTGGTGGTGGTGGTGGTGGTGGTGTTGTTGTTGTTGTTGTTGTTGTTACCGTTCTTGTTGTGGTGGTTGCTGTTGTTACCGTTCTTGTTGTGGTTGTTGTTGTTGTTGTCGTTCTTGTTGTTGCTGCTGTCGCGGTTGTCGATGTCGTTGTCGTTGTCATTGTCGTTTGTTGTGTTGGCATTTAGAACCGCTACGAGTAGGCACACACACTTGCCCCCCCCCGAGATCATGGTACATACGATACGCCCCCCCAGCCCATGGCCCTTAAAAAGAAGCTTATTCCGTTCTTAGCCGACTGAAATAAGACTTGCATCTTTTTATTGGCCCGCCCGTTCGCGCGGTCGATGCCGTGTAATGGAAACACACTCACGGTTAGACCGGTCCATGCTAATAATAAAGACACACACGCAAACACGATGCGCAAGTGAACCATTATTTAGACCATGAGTACCCCCCCCCCCCTCTGTTTCTGGGGGAAAGGCGTTGATCCACAAGGTGGTGCCGCTGCTTCTAAGGGAGCTGGCGACAGCATCGAACACAGCACCAGGCGCGCTGGCTCAAGGGGCTGCAAGGGCGACGGTCAACTTGTGCTTTCCGAAGCTCCTCGAGGCAAGCGAAGCGTGGTCGGGGTGTTGATGATGTTCGTTGTCGGTGTTGTCGTTTGTGTAATGGTGTTGTATGTGTCATGTTGGTGGTGGTGATGGTGTTATTGTTATCGTTGTTTGTGTTGTTGTTGTTGTTGTTGTTGTTGTTACTGTTGCAGCTGCTGCTGCTGCTGCTGCCGCTGATGATGATGATGAGATGCTGTCGCTGTCGTTGTTGCCGGGTCGAAGGTTACCCGTGATGACGACATTCTCTATCTGTTCCGCAGACACAACCGGCGTTACCAGGAGAGCAACTTCCCCTTCCTGTTACCAAAACCCATTTGCCCCGCTTTGCTTCAACGTCCCTCCACCTATATATAGATTTCGAAGGAGATGCCAGACGAAGACTTCCGCTCGACCATCCAGCCAACCATCGCCGGTCTCTTCGCCGTGAACGATCGAGGAGTGCGAGTAATGCTCCTCACCAGCATACCGTCGTACGGGAAACGGCTAGAGGACGCCGTAGTCAACGACCAGGTATTTAGGGTTAGGTTCGCCTCGCCAGGGGGTTATGTCGGTGTTTTGTTGTCCCGCTGGGACACAAACGGGTGCGAATCCAGACTTCCTTCGCAAGCCAGTTGCCGTAGGTGACACAAGATACTACACCCCCTGGATCGATTTTCAAAGCTCGATCTCTCCACAGCACAAGCGGTGGCGGTGCCGAAAAATGGCGGCGTCGAACCATCTCGTCGAGAGCTTTCCAACAAACGTACCGTATGACTCATGCACCTTCTTCCTAGTGGAGTAGTGGAGCTGTGAAAATTGATCCAGTGGGTGTGGTATATTGCGTCACCCCCGGTAGAGCTGAAGCGCCCCCCCCATAGGCTGGTGCTGCGCAGGCAGGGCTATCGGGTACGGCCACAACGTTGCTCCCGTTCAGCTTGCGGGGGTGTGTTGTTCGTCGTTACGTAACAGCAGTTGCTTATTTTTTTGGAAACACAGCCTGCCTACCCGGTTTGGGGTCTGTATATTCGTCTCTTCATTGCAGGGAGAGCGGATACAGGGACACCCGTTGCCCCCTGTCCGCTTTCAGGTCTGCCTACCGCAGGTTGCATAATAATACCTCACCCCCTGGAACGATTTTGAAAGCTTCGTTACTCCACGACGAAGAGGGTGCTGAAATCAAAGGATGCGTTGTCGGAAAGCTCTCGGCCAGACGGTCCCAACGCCTCCCGCCATTTTCGGCACCGTCACTGCTTTCCCTCTCAAGTAATTGAGCTTTGAAAATCGGGCCAGTGTGTGTGATATGTTGCGCAACCTACGGCGCTCGTCTTAACGTTGCCTACTTTGGCGGAAACCGGGCGCGCATTTGTGCTCCGTCCTCTAGAGGACGCGTGGTCAATGGCCTAACAGCTAAGGCATGCAAGAACATGAGTACCACCCCCACCCCCCCCGCGCGCGTGCCGGTCTGCCCTCCCGCTCATGGGACGATCTGCCGCTGTTATCTGCACCAACTCCCTCCCAACGACAAGGTGTTCGAGCCGCTATGTGCGGGTTTTACGGATGCGGCCGCTCCGCTTCGTGAGCTGACGCTCAAGAGCATGGTGGCGTTCACGCAGCAGCTGTCGGAGAAGAACATGAACGACAAGCTCATCAAGCACCTGGCAAGGCTGCAGGTGAGAATGATGCATGAATGCTGTACCTGCTGCTGTTACTGCTGTTGCTGCCGCTGTTGTTGTTGCTGCTGCTGCTGCTGCTGCTGCTGCTGCTGTTCCGTCGAAGAATCACCTCACCGCGTCGCCCCTACCCCCCCTCCGGTGTTTTGCCATCGGGATTGGGTTTTCGTCGCTTGTCAACGACGTTGTAAAACAAGCCAAGTCACTTCATGAACTCGGCAACCAGGTTACCGGGTTTTTTTTTCCTCTGTTTTTTTTTTGCGGTAACCATGAATGGTGGTCGAGTAGATCATGTTGTGCGGGGTCGAGAAGCCTCACTCCGCGCAAGGGGGATGATCGCACCACGTTGTGTTAAAATGGTCAAGCATCCTCGAGGCAGCTACACAGTGCTTACAACTGTCTCTGGAAGTGAAAGCACCAGAAAATAAATTAAGTCATACATAGCTGTCATCCGTACGCAAGGAAGTAAGCACAAGATGCCGAACACCCTTAGCAGGATGCAGCTCACCCTTCATGCGACTCGCCGAATACCTCACGGCGCTTCGCGCTTGGTGATGTGAGAGCCTGGTCCGGTGAGAACCCGGCGTGCTCCGTCCCGGCTTTGTAGGGATGCGAGGTCAATAGTCTAACGACTACGGCATGCACGACTATGAGTACCCCCCCCCCCCCCCCCCCTCAAACGGTACACTACCGACTCCCCTCGCCCCCTGCTTTCTTGCATTTATTTTCAGCACATCCTCGCGAACCTCACGGCATTGTCCCCCCCTCCCCCCCCCCAAACGGTACCTATGCGGCCGCATTTCTTTCTCAGGGTGACGCGGAAGACTCCATCCGTACGAACGCGATTATTTTCCTGGGTAAGGTGGCGGCGCAGCTGAGCCCGGCCGTAAGGGACAAGGTGCTGCTGCCGGCGTTTGCCAGGGGGGTGAAGGATCCGTTCGTGGCGACGAGGCTGGCGGGGCTCAGGGCTACGGCGGCTTGCCACCAGCACTTTCGGGCGGAGGAGGTGGGTGCGGCAACAGGCGTCCCCGCTCTGCATCTCTCTCTCTCTCTCTCTCTCTCTCTCTCTCTCTCTCTCTCTCTCTCTCTCTCTCTCTCTCTCTCTCTCTCTGTGTGTCTTTCTCTCCACCCGGCTCCCCTTCTCTTTCCCAAGTAGTTTGTTGGTGTCTTTTTCAACCACAGAAGGTGGATGCGGAGGAAGGCGTCCCCGCTTTGCGTCTCTGCCTGCCTGCCTGCAGCGTATGTGTGTGTGGTCTCTCTCTCTCTCTCTCTCTGTTTCCTCAGTTCCAACCGCTGATCGGTCGTGCGTACTAATAATATTATGTTGACCCACAGTTCTGCAGACGATCGTGGTACGTGCCAACGACCATACCCTGCGTGTCTCATGGTATTCTAGAAACCCAACACTCGACAAGGTTAACAGCCACGGCATGACACTGCACCACCACCCAACTAATGAGTACTTCATCAACCGCTTGTTTCGTGCCATGAAACATTTGTTGAAGCCGATGTAAGCTAGTCAGCGCTGACTGGTTCTGACGGTTTGATTTCGGCCCCTAAGAGCAACACCGCTGACCAGTCTAATGGTTTGATTCGGCTTCTAAAAGCGAAGCCGCTGACTACTTCTTCTGGTTTGATTTCGGCTTCTACAAGCAACACCACTGCACCGCCGCCGCCACCACCACCCTCACCGCTTGCCGCCGGCGTCAACAGGTCTGCGCCAAGGTGCTCCCGACGGTGATGCTGTGCCTCATAGACCCGGGGTCAGAGGCGGTACGGGAGGCCGCCTTCGCGTGCGTGGACACGTATCTCTGCAAGCTTCGAGAGGTGTCGGAGAGGATGAAGGTGGAGGAGGAGGAGCGAAGAAGGATAGAGGTATGTGGGGCCCACAATGTGGTTGAATCCCCGCGGTAGCGCCGTTGCTGGGCAGCAGGCTTATGGACCTAGAATACCGCCAGTGCCCCTGTAAGTGTTGTTTTTTTTGTCGTCACTTCAAGCAGGCGGTCACTGCACTTGCGCGCCGGTTTCTCCAACCCGTGGTCACACAGAAAGGTTCTTCTCCACGAACCCCCCCTGCCCACCCCTCCTGCGTACTCTGCCTTCGATTTTTCGTGCGAGAATAGTGCGGCACTCTCTTCCCTGCTGTACAGCGCCAGCGAAATTGCAGCTGGGCACATGCTGAAATCACCAAGTCGTCGTTCTGTGCTTTGAATGGCGCCGGTCTCTAAATAGCGCGGGTTGATTCGCCGGGCACATTCCGCTGTACCGTTACTGTTACCGACAAGACATACGTACGAAACTGTGCAGCTACCAATGGTGTTCACGTAGGTGTCACGGCCTCTTCTTTGTTACGCCTCCAAGCCACACGCCGCCGCGCACGAAACAGCACATAATCATTAGCGACATGTTTTCCTCTGCGATCACGATCACGCACGATAGGCGGAGGAGAAAGCGGCCGAGCTAGCGGCCCACGGCGTCAGCGGCGGCGGCGGAGGGAACGCGGCGGCGGGTGGTGGTGGTGTCGGAGGGGGCTCCGCGGGATCATCTTCGGCGGGGGCTGCGAAGAGGAGCTCCGCTGGGTCTGAATGGGGGAGGTGTGTGCGCGCTCACGACTAGCCCTAACCCTAACCCTGTTCAGACGGTGGCACATTCGTTTTCGAGGAGTGACGCTGAGTTGTTGGAGTTCTCGCCTACTACTGCTTATAAGCATATATACCTGTGTTGTTGCTTGCGTCGCTTTGCCCTCCGAATGCAGGCCTTGTGGGGCATCGAACCTCTTTTTTTGTATTCAGAAGTTAGCAGACAGCGGTTATTGGTAATCGGGTTGAGTTGTCGCCCTTGGTGTCATGGCTTTTGGTTTCGTTTTGTTTATATTCCTACAGAAGTTTATAAGAATCCTTCGCAACCATTGCATCGTTGTCTTTCTTTTCGCTCTCACGCTATATATATATACACACACTCCCCCCCCCCGTCCCCTCCCCGCCCGGCGAACGCAAACGCCGTCGCCCTCTCGTCCAAACCCAACCCAAAACAGCTGGGCGCTGGGGAAGCTCTCCGAGACTCTCGCTAGCTCGGCCCTCCCCAGCAGCGGACCCGTCGGGGCGGCAGGAGGTGGTGCCGACACGATGAGCAACAGCAACAGCAGCACCTCGTTGGCATCGGCGGCGATGTCTCCGCCCCCTTCGGCATCGTCGTCGGGGGTGCCGAGACACCACACCACGGCCCTAGGCCTTAACCTCAACGGCGCCGGCAACGTGTCGGCGAGCATTCCCGGTTCGGTGGCGTCGGCGGTGGCTGCGGGTCTCCCCGTCGGCGGAGGAGGCGGTGCGAGCGGGAAGGGGATGTTTGGCTATGTCCCCGGGGAGGAGGGGGAGGATGACGGTGATGGCGGCGGCGAAGACGAATGGCAGGTGCGGTGGTGGTGGTGGTGGTGGTGGTGGTGACAGTGGTGATGTTGGTGGTGCTGGTGCTGGTGTTGATCGTGCTGGTGCTGTTGCTTTTGCTGTTGTTGTTGTTGTTGGTGGTGGTGGTTCACGCATCGCAAACATTTTTTTTCTCACCTCGACGCAGTGCATATCCACACGGCGAACCGACATCAACCATCGCGTACTTGTTAACAGTTCCGTATTTGAACAGCAAGGGCAAACGAATAGCGCTTGGATGCTCCCTAATCCACGCAACAAGCAACATGAAGTTGTAAAGCTCCACGCTGCCCACCAAGATGCCTTGTGCCACACACCCCCGCGCCGGCCCAGAGCATTTGCGGGAGATGTCTCTCTCAACGGGAAAGAGTAACAGCGCTCCGTTCCGAAATGGAGACACATTGGTCATACTCTCTTCCGCGTGCCCCCCATCCCCCTGTTGGTGATTGCAGGACGCAAGAGACATCCAGCCCGCACCAGGGTCTACAAACGGGTGCACGACCAATGCCGCCGCGGGTTCGAAGCCCTCGTCGATCCTCAGCCTCAAGAAAGCCAGCCCCCCCGGAGGGGTTTCTGCCGCCCCTGCGGCCGGCCGCGGCGGCGGCGGCGGCGCGGGGGAAGGGTGGGACTGGGACGGCCTCGACGGTGTCGGCGACGATGCGCAACCGCCGCCGCCTAAGCCGCCCTCGCCCACGCCACCGAAGCGCGTCGTTTCGTTGGGGTTGGGCGGCGGCGGCGGCGGCGGCGGGGGGGGCTCGGGGGCTGGTGCTGGTGCTGCTGGGGGGGGGGCGGCGGGCGACGCCGCGAGCCGGAGAGAAGCCTTACAGAAGCGACGGGAGGCCCGAAGGTGTTGTCAAAAGGTTTTTGCTCTTGGTCTGCTGTGTTTGTGTGCTTTCTTTGCTTTGCGTTCACGGGGCTAAACGGGCAGACCAAAGATGAACGGATAAAGCCTAAACCCAGAGAAACAGCTAGAACATTTAGCACTCCCTCTGCACTCTGCGGAGCCCCTGGAATCCGCGGGGCCTCCTGATGTCGACGGCACCGAGCAAAGCAGGCAGGAGGGGCCCTGGTTACAGTGTCTGTCTCGATGCGTAAACTGTTGTCGTGGCACGGCTGTTTGCTTTTCGTCCGTCCAGTTTGGCCTTTTTCTTCGCCCGTTGTGTGTGTCTTGTGTCTTGAGCTACTGTAGGGGGTGGGGACACCAATGATACACGGTGACCCTCTTTTATGGCGTGCTTCTCGCGGCACTCCTTCCCTCTTCTTGCACGGACATTTGTCTGCCTCTGCTCGTGAAGTCATCACGCGACTGAAACACGTCTCAGTTGATTGTCCTGATGTTCATGCTTGCCAAGAAGGCACAAATCGACCTGGGAAGGGACCCAAAGCCCTCTTCTTCCCTAGTCCCCACACACCGTTATCTAGCACAGTACCCTGGGCCGGCGAAAAAATGGCATATCGCTCCTTCCCAGCATGCGAGGCCAATCAACCGTCCAACGACTACGGCATGCGCTTACATGAGAGTAACCCCCCGCTTGAACTACTGGTTCTTGGTCTGTGGTCATTCGTTGACAGGGCGCAACGCGAGAGCAGCAAGGCGAAAGCGAAACCGGTGGTCGTGGCGAAGAAGCTCATGGACATCGCCCCGCCTGACGGCTGGGAAGACTTCTAGAAGTTCCTTTTCTAGAAGCTCCTTTTCTAGAAAATTTCTCCAGAACTTCTTCTTGATAATCTTGTGCACCGCCGTAGAAGCTTCTTCTAGATACTAATCTTTTTTTATGATCTGGTGTACCAGCGCAGTACAGCACACCGAGCTTCTTCGCAGCAGCAAGTTTGGATTTTTGCATCTCCTTGTTGTAAGGTGGTCCCGAGTTTCCCCGCACAAAAGTTCGGGTTTTTGAGTTTCGTATTGTTGTTGTACGTCCGCCCTCGCCCTGCTGCTGTTCGCTGTCATTTGTAGCGCAGTGCCGACAGGGCATATGTGCCATCCCTGATTGTTTTTTGCTTCAGAATCTATTTTTTTTTTTGGGTGGGCGTGGTGTGATGGTAACTGGCAGCTTAGTAAGGGTCCAGCGATCTCTGTGTGCACGAGTGCGGACGCTTGACAGACAGCCCTCGCCGAAGGGAAAAGCTATTCCACGATTGATAATAATATTAATCATTTCGTCGTGCTGTGTACGTTACGTCTCGACATCGAGGGAGGACTACGGTAGTACAATAGTGCTGAACAACCTGCGAAGTTCGTGTTGAGACCCGGCATGACGCAGTTGGGGCTCAAGCAGCGCGGTGCGGATGCTTTTGTTTTGCGCTTGGGGAAGAACGGATCCGTTTTTATACATCCGTGCAGGGCCCAATAGACGAAGTGCAACGGTTGGCGAAGTGCATGACTGATGCTCTCTCTCGTGTTGTGTTCAGAGAAAAGGCAGATGATCCGCGGATATGCTGTTGTTAATGTCGCTGCAGAGGCCCGCAGAACGGCCACTTGGTAGAAACCAAGCGCAAAAACAAAACCGACAATACCGGCCTCGAAGAACGCAAGTGCAGGACCAAAGTAGTAGCAAACCAAGCGTAGTCTATTGAGCCGCTGCGAAGATCATAGGCATAGACTCTTACTACGGCCAACTTGTACAAAGTCGATTAGGACGAGCGTTCCACGGAGATCCGACACTCATGCGCATACGTCGGCGAGAGGCCTGTTGTCAGAGAGACTGTTGTAGCCCAACGCCTGACTGAGCGAACGATGACAGCCAAAAGGAACATTGCAGCCAACATTTCAGACGCGGACGGTTCGACCTCAGAATCCGACCCCCGTCGCTGTTCTCCCCTCCCGGTACACGTATGTATATCACCACCCCTCCCGACCGCGCAGACAACGGTGACGTGGGAGGTGCTGGCAGCACCGCCAGCAAACAGGAAGAGAATGAAGTGGCCTCCCAGTTTCGACTTGATGCTGGCTAACACGGGCGAGTCTTTCACGCGCAAGAAGAGTATCTACAGTAGTAGTATCTCTGCTGTCCCTATCTACTTCTATTAGGAAAAATAAAAACACACACAGAAAGACTACAGTTGGGGCCCGCAAATAAGAAGCACCAATTTCGGGTCGAGGCTCAAAGTCTTATTATTCTGGCTGTTGATCGAATACTCATGATTTTTCTTACAACAACGACGACAGTGAATTTCTTATTGTTTGGCTCTGTCGCCTGGCCTGTATAAATGTATACGCCACTCAGTCAGTTAGTTACCGTGTCTTGTGTTACCCATTCTTTCGGCAACCATACCCTCCGTCCACGAACGTCTCCCAACAGATGATTGCGAAACACAGAAACTAAATGGACAAACCACTTCCGGGGCCTCGTCTAACTCGTGCTGCCAAGGTGCCGAGGTGTGCCGCCCCCCCCTGTGCAACAATCGAAACAACGCATTGTTCGGAAGAAACGCACAAAGACACTCAATCAAGTTATTATTGCCATGAGCTCCGGTCCCCTACCGTAGTTTCTTATGTCTCATGCCTCTGTGGGTGCGTGTTTTCTTATTCGGATGTTTCTTATCTTTGCGTCCGTTTTGAGGTGTGTTTGTTTTATCACTTTTTCTTATTTTTCCTCAAAAGTTGAGGGTCTTGTAGATTTTTCTGAACGGCGCGCCGCAACTACTACGTACTGCTGTGTACCCGTTCGAGATATATATCTAGTTGGGAGCGTCGATGTGCCGCCCTCCCAACCCCCCCCAGAGCTCTCCCGAACACTTGGAACGCTACATAGCACTCTAGAGGCTGCCCGCCAGTAATTGCTGGGTGCAATTTTGTGTGCTGGGACAGAGGGAGCGACACAGACGCGTACACGCATGCACGCACACTCTGCAACAACATGCAAGGTGCAGCTCTCAGCTGTAACGCAGCGCAGCCAATCACCGCCTTTCTGAGAACAGTACACCGCATGCAGCGAGTGTGCCTATACCAGGACAAAAGATGGGCATCTACAACCGTGCGGGAATGCACTCTAACCCTGCAACACTTCAGAGGTATCATCTGTCGCGCAAATCACTAAACACGAGGTCATCGGCAAGTCGGCAAGAAGACGAGAAGAGGGTTGCACCGCAAAACTTCCGAGTGTACACAACAAGTTTTTAGAACCCTCCGCGCCGTGTGAAGCACACCGCCGCGCCCGATAACGCGGCCCACCGCTCCTACACCCCGGAGACATAAGCCAGCAGCAAGAGGCTCATCCGGTATCCGCAGGCACTCGTTGGGGGAAGAAAGGTGTGTGTTTCTGTCTCTTTTGCGTACCGGCATATGCTTGCTCCACATCTCCCTCTAGTCTACATGACGTTCACACGACGTCGTATTCATACGCATGATGAGCAAGTAATCTGTTTTTTTTTTTTTTTTCTTAATATGACACAACGAAACCATCTCTATCATAGAAAAGAGTCTGAGACAGATTAGCAATGGATTCATAGCGTCAGAAAGTACCTGTATGTCTACGATTTCCCAGACAGCATATAGGGACATCTCCCCTGCGGGTAACAGGCTCAACAAGACAGTTTGTTCTTCTATGCACGCAGCATAGCAGCAGAGCAGTACAAAACGCGGATAAACGCGATGAGCAGTAAATCCCACCGTTAAATAAAATAAATATTAAATGAAATGGTCCCCCCGTCCTATGTTTTCTGGGGTTGTGTATCGGCGCAGCCGAACGATATAATATGTATCGGAGATCGGCGCAGCCTTCGCCGATATATCGAAAAATATCGGCGAGCGAAGCGAGCCGTGGTTAGGGGGCTCGCTTCGCGAGCACCCCCTCGGCCCCCCGGCTGGTGAGGGGCCCCGCTGGAGGCGCCCCGCCGGAGGCGTTTTTTTACGCAATTTGGCTTCACTAGAGCATATTTTTTGGGTGATTTTGGGGCACTTCGACCATGCCACTTTTTGGTGGGTGATATCCTGAAAACTACCGAAAAACGCTAAAACTTGGAAACCATCGACAATAAATGACAGATGATTAGTCAGTTCTCTTTCGAAGCTTTGGTTGGGTGGTACAACACGACCACGTTTGAACGTCTTCACGAAGCTGCTTCCAAAACACGTTCCCACCTCCCTCGTCCTCCCTCTCTCTCTGAATCTTGTCATGTTTCTACAACACAGCCTAAGTTTTTCGTGTTTTTTTGAACTTGGTCTCTGCACAGTGAAAGTCGCCGTTTGCCACGCACAACTGACAGATCGCGATGCCCGAATGGCATGGGTTCCGATACACCCTGAAATGCTTCCACACCGGGTGTGAGGCATTCGGGGGCTTGGGCAGCTTCGGCTCCATCTTGACCCTCTCCACCTTCGCAGCCCGCTCGTTTTTCTTCGAACGCTCTGCTGTCTCTGTGTCTGAAACTGGTTCTACTGCAACCACCGGCGTGGAGGACCCTCCATCCTGGTCCGCTGCTGGTGGGGTACTCATGGGGTGTTCGGCTAGTGTTCGGTGTTCGGTCTGCTCTTCTGTGGTCCAAAGCAACAGCCGCCGCAACAGCGAGGCCTCATAGGGGGTCCAAACGTGTAACTGTTGTAACATATGCCCCCTTTTTGATTCACGGAGCCCCCTCAAATATATCGCCCAACATATCGGGGCTGACAATAGATACTCGATACGATATATATCGTCCGATTATATCAAACATATCGGCTCCGATACACAACCCTAATGTTTTCCCCTTCGATGGAGCAATGCGAAACCGATCCGTGCGTGTTCCGGCGGATTCGAAAAGGCAAGGTCAGGTGAATGTTGCGGTAACAGGTCCAGAGGATGCCGAGATTTTTTTTTTTCGACCTTTTCCGGCCCCGCCGCCACTACAAGCCACCACCGTCACGCATGAAGGCACCTTCGAGTAGCTTTAGTCCTGACAAGTCTTCCAGCGGAAGAGACGAAGGGAAATGGGGGCTTGTGGCGTGCTGGGTAGGGAAAACAGCTCTGGAAAATTACTGACCCAGTACTCAGTCAGGCTTTTTTCAACTTTTTTCCGATGTGTGGACTTTTTCCCATGATCATCCCCGGGCAAACGGTTTGGCGCATTTACACCCACCTGGCGCCACCCTGGGTCTACGTGGGCTACTGAAACGAGACCACACAGTACTTATACATCCTACTAGACGCTGTATACCAGTTTCCCGAGATTGTTTTGCAGACTGTGCTTGTTGCGAGGGTCACAAGACACGCGCTGACTTGGAGACAGATGATCTGGTTGAACATTCGGATTTGGAGGACGCATCAGTGAACGACGCTGGGCCGTGCAACTTGAACCAAACGGTGGGCACACAAGCTGGTGTCGTTGGCTTTCTGTAGCATTCAAGACATTAGGTGTTCGTCCCTTGTGGATGGAGATATCGACAAACATGAAACGTGGATCTGGGCCCTCTTTCCAGTCCAATACCAAAAGAGTCGTCTTCCAGTTGCTCCGCATTCCGAAGACATCGAAAGGGCGGCGGAAGGGAGGGAAAAAAAAACCGAAAAAAAATAGCGAAAGCGATAGCGAGACAGAGAGGAGAGAGGTTTGGGGCCTGATATCATTTGACGTAGCAGGTCCGGCTACCGTAACAATGAACAATCCTTGTGTCTCCCACCTGGTGCAGGCACGCTGTAAGTGGTACCTGGTGTTCAAGCTCTGTGGTTGGGGATATCTACCAACAACAGCGTGCCAATCGAGGCGTGTAGTGTGGCCCTATTGTTTGGTGATGGTTCGCAAGGCGTTCTGATATTTGGGGACACCGTTCCCGAACAGCAATAAAAAGAAAAAAATCCCGGCATAACGACACTGCGCAGTCCTCAACGAAGACTTCACCACCAACAACCTTGGTGAAATTTCCTGGTACACGGGGGGGTACATTCTCGTGCGATTTTGAGGAAGATCTATTCGTAGGATCTCTCAGAGTTTTCCATCGAGACACTTGCAAAGCGTTTCGATGTGAAAACCACCTGCCCCTTGTGCATAGACTACGCGGTACATGTACTTTGCTTTACCAGCTTCGCCCGGTGTGAACTGAGGACCCAGAGAGGAGGGCGCAAACGACTGAGGCTGCGGCAACCTGCACATGCCAGCCGGTTAGGCTACATTTTTGTCTGAAGTCCCGCTTCGACTTGGGGCAGATCTCTTGACTGCTGTCCCTCTTGGACCCTCTGCTTCGGCTGCCCAGGATCAACGTAGGATGGCAGACTTGGCGAGCAGGGTCAAGATTCCCTCCGGAACTCCTCGCGTTCGAGACTGGTATGTCCAGCGTAGGGCGGAGGTTGCCCATGCTTGCGATCACCTCGAGATCACGAGCAGCAGCCGTGACTCCTTCGAACGTAATAATTCCGCCGAAAACCAACGGGTGGTTTTTGGGCTTGCCGGACCAGGCGGCGCGGGAAAGTCCACGGTCGCCTCGATGGTGATCACGCGCGAGGACGTGAGAGCATCGTTCCATAAAGGGGTGCTATGGTTGCCGGTGGGACAGGGGGCAAAGGACCGCCTTCCTTCCCCCATGCTCGATCTCGCCGGAATGGTGCACAAGACCGCCCTTTCAGAAGAACCATAGAGCCGGCAAACGCATAGACGACGGGGGTGGCCTATATTACGGAGATGGTGGAGGACGAGGGCCGAGAGCGCGTTCTCGTGGTGGCCGACGACGTTCGGGAGGCAGAGGTCCTGCAGGAGCTGAAGACGGTGGGGACATGCATCCTCTACACCACTCGCCATGCCAGTCTGCTTCCCGACGCTCCCCCAGTACAAGTGCATGAGATCTTCCAGGAAGGGGCAGACATGGTGCTAAGGCGGGCAGCGGACCTCGATGAGAGCGCCGTCCTTCCGGACGCTGGGTACGAGCTGATGAGGCGGTGCGAGTTCGTCGTACTGGACATAGCCTTCGTGGGGAGGTGGGGCGTGGTCCGTGGCAGGAGGAAAGAAAAGGCCTGGCAGATGGCCTTGGATCGCATCTTGGAGGCTCAGGCGGGAGGCGAGGGCGTGGGGCCTTTGTCTTGGCGCGCGTCTGTGCTGCGGGCTGGGCTGGAAGAACTCGCAGTTGACAACCCACTGAATAAAGAACTCTACCTCGCCCTGGCGGTCTTACCGATGGGATTGACGTTCCCTTCGGAAGTGGCGGCGGCCTTGCTGTACGACGACGCACTGTCCGGAGAGGATCTTGAAGATCTGGAGGTGGCCGAGGAAGTTGCCGCAACCCTTGAGCGCTGGTCGATTCTCATTCGGATGGGTGGCGGAAACTATCGCGTCCATGACGAGCACAGTGACTTCATTCGGGGATGCCTTTCAACGAACAAGGACACCCAGGACAGGGTGCTCCGTCGCTGGCGGAGGTACATCTCAAGTGTCCGTGCCCTCCTCGCGTGCGAACCTGAGGATCTGGTGAAAATATGGGACAGTTTGGCGAGCGATCAAGACGACGTCATAGATCCGCGGCCGTATGACAGGGCGTTGGAAGCGATGGATATGCCGAGTGCGGAGCTCCCTAGGGCCCTGCATTTAGCCGGATTTTTTTACATGGTGCGAGAAGACGGCGAGGGCGCCTGCTCTACGTTCTCCAAACTGCTGAAGCTTCAAGAGACAACGGTCACATCTGATGGCTTGATTGTGTGGGAGACCCTGCGTTCCCTGCATCTAAGCGCTTACATGTCAGGAAGGTGGGAAGAAGCCGAAGTGACTCAGCGACGTGCTGATGCGATCTTGAAGGAGATGGGAAAGGAGCCCGTAAACTTTGTTGATTTTTGGCTCGAAAGTCTGTTGGAAAACCCATTTCTGTCCTGTTTCTTTCCCTGCGCTACTGACGACGCCGTGGGCGACTCGGTAGACGGACGGAAGAGCAGGTCGTTCGTCGACGACTCGGCCTCAGAGCGCGTTTTCATTCCCAAAGGTAAGAACACACACCTTCTCCTCACACCCTGTTGTTCGTTTTTTGTCTAGGACGTGTGTGGCGGCAACCAGGCAACCTCTCGATATGGCCACACACACCAGCCATATATCCTCACGTTATTTGTCTTGTTGTTACCTAAAACCATAGCCGAAATCCTTGCCCTCGACCGGTGTGTATGTATGTGTGTTTTCGTCCTATTTATCATGGCGACAGTGCCCCCATTTTTTGTGGTGAGACGTGTACGACCGGTACAATGCATATATGCGTCTACACGGTAGAGAGTCCAAAAGCGGCGAGATACAGTGATCTTGGTTGGTGTCTGCCCAAAGAGAGCAACATATTGTTGATTTTTTTTCAACTCGCAGGTGTGGCCGTGCTCGGTGCCTTTTCTCCACAGAGAGAGACACATGTGTTCCATCAATGCGTGGACACGTTTCCAGATGAGCCTATTTTTCTCACGTGTGCCCCATCGACCCAGTTGTTACCGTCTCCTCGATAAGTTTGTTGCAGCACAATTGCCAACTATTTAGTTGGATCATCAAAAATCGACTCTTGTCTCGCTGGTTGAGGGGCCCGATCGTATCGAGGCCTTGTTCCCAGAAAATAGCCACAGTATTCAAGTGAGATAGAGACATCGAAATCTATTAACACGTTTGCCGCTGTTTTGATCCCTTCCTAGCCTTTCTCGTGACTCCCCCCGACCTCCTTCCCCTTCCTCCTTCTCCCCCTCTGTCTCTCTGTCTCTGTCTCTCTACTTTTGTAACCTCGCCTCTACAGCCTCAAGAAACAAGTACGTCGTCGTGGGGCTAGTAGGAGCGACGGTCAGAGTGAGCAAGCGGCTCGACTCGCCGGTTTTGAGGACGCTGCCGAAGGGAACGGTGAGAGCATGAAAGCTGATTGCTCATCTGGCGTGTCTAGGTCCACCACACGCGCATACACAATGTTTGAGCACACACGCGTGCCATACAATACAGCAAGGGAACCTACAGCCTAGAACACTCCGCTTGGATCTCCGATTTTGTAGAACGTGCTACAGTACGGAACAGACAAGTGCCGTGTGCCGATTCGCAACTTGAGTGCTTTGGGATTCCGCCTGTGGCACTGTAGCCTCACGCCACAGAGCTCACCGCCGACACAAATTTGAGTAAAACATATAAATACACGCTACGTTCGTACCATCACAAATGTTCTTACTTCCGAGGTTGGAAATCGAAAACCTGTCGAACATAAAAAGTGTCTATGTTCAGCGAGACCGCACCGTTTGTCTTCGCTACTGCTGTGCAAAGCACCCTCGTAGTCGGTACCCTCCCCCGAGTTACATCCGATGCCACTCCCTTGACATGAACAGCGATTGCGTTGCACATGGGCCTGTCCATAACTCCATAGCGCTACGTCCTGCACCGGCTAGCACACTCGTAGCGTGATTTGCCAAATTATCCTTGTCTTCCCTCCCCGTACTCTACGGTGCTCACCAGGTGGTGGAAGTGGCACAAATTCGGTCGCGACGAGCACACATAGTCAAGCCGATAGACGGCTGGGCAAGCTTGTCGACAGTGAGCAGTTACCGCATTTTAGAGCCGCCGATCACGCAATCTACCAAGTACAAGGTGTGTGTGTGTTTTTGTACCTGACCGGGCACTTGCTGCTGCTGTAATATTTGTTACAATATTAATAGCGTAAGAATATGTATTCGACGTGTGCGCTGTACGACCCAGTGCGTTGGGCCGTCCGTGCGCTGCTCATAGGATCTTGGCCGTGGCGCGACACATCTTACACCGTAGACCGTTTCGCGGAAAGAGAAGGAAGCAGGAGGCGTCAGGGAGAGGAATCCTCTCTTCAGAGGAATCCTGTCCTCTCGTCTCCATGGGACCCAGAGAAGAATTGAGATTTTTTCTTCTTGTTGCACGGTTTACCAGAAACGGTAGACGGCGACAGCAAGTCCCCCAGCGCATGGTTGCCCCTTCGTCAAATGTGCCGAACCACGACCAGAAAACGTCACCTTGGCGGTGCTTCTGACCTCTGCAGTTGTTGCGTCAACACCAACCCAAAAAAGTACTTCAGACGCCGACGACCCGCCGCACGTGTGAGATGGGGGCTGGTCGGCACAATACCCTCATGTATGTTGTCGAAAGGGTAGTCTTTATGTGCGTGTATTTATTTTTCCTTTATTAACAGTTGTGACTACCGTCCGTGTATACTTCATCTGTTGCCGCACCTTTTTTTCTCCTGCGCAGGTGATTTATCCAGAAGGAATATTCGTGCGCCGTATGGTTTCCCTTGAAAGCCGGATAGCCAGAATCGCACCGTTCGGGACTGTTCTGAAGGCTACGGGCAGGGTGAGAGATAAGGGGGTAGGTGGGGGTTGCTGTGGTTTGCTGTTGGCTGTACTGATGCTCGATATGTTTGTGTTTACTGCTGCATGATTTCTACTGGCAGTGGGATATGTAGTGGTGTTGTTGGTTCTGCGGCTGCCCTCTCGTTTTCTTCGCTATTTTGGTGGCGACGGTTGGAGATCAGGAGATGTAGCTCAGTTCCTTCAAAAGTTCCTATTCGGTCGCTCGATGGGGGTGCTGGTACCATCGCTGTTAGAACCGACGCTTGTGATGGTAGTGGCAACAGTGGTGCCCTTCATTCTCTCTTGCGATTCCTTGGGCAAAAGAACCCCAAATACTCGCATGGGGGGGAAATTCCAGAACTTCGGGTACGTAGTTCATACCGCCTTGGAACGAATCTGTTGGAAAATTTTATAACCGCGTGATGGACCTGGCGCGCGTCTGATACCCCACCCCGCCCACCCTCCTTGCACCTCCAGACGGAAATTTACGATGCAGTGGAGCGAATAGAGGTCGAGGACGGCTGGGTTTCTATGCGTTTGCGAAACGACACAGGAGCACCATTACTCAGCCCGCTTGATTAGAACCATGTTGAGATACCAGCGGCGTCCTTCAGGTATCGTTGGGAGGGCGAAAGATCGAAACAGAAGGATCTTGAAAATGCTGAACTTGTTGTATTTTGTGGCGCTTTTTTACCGAGCACCCCGCGTCGCGTTCAAGGACAGGACCGCATTGAGTGGAGTTTTCCAACGATGTGTTTTGAACGCCGAAACGACACGAAGTGTTGTGCCATATGACTGTGCAAGCGGTAGCGGTGCAAGCCGACGGTTACATTCTCCTCGCCGGAGGCACGGAGGGAAATTGGGCCGGCGAAAGCACTGGCGGGTAGAAAACGCCGTCGTGATAGAATCATCGGCGAGGGCAAAGAGCTCTGGCGCTGGCAGGTACCACGCCATTGGCTTTGGTTTGTCAAGTTTTACCGTCTCGAGAGAGCGAGGTGAGATGGGTGCAGAGAGGACGGCATACACACGCACCATCCATCACACGACCGGTGGACGAGTCTATCGAGACAGTTACAACGGGATGCACACGTGGTGCACCCGCCCCGTCACACATCTCCGCATAGGAAAAAATGGAAAAAACACGCGTCGTCGTCGGGGCTCTCTGTACATGTTGTGCTTACCCGAACGCTCCCACCGTCAGCATTTTTTTGTCAACGGAGCAGCTGGAGGAAGTACGAGGTACGACCAAAGAGACAACGCAACGGCTATGTGTGTGGACCGTTGGCGAAGTATAGCTGGTGATGGTTAAACGAAATATGCAGTGTGACACAAAGGGGCGGTAGACTGAACGGATGGACGGGCCAATGGGTTGTAGGGCGAAGTGGTCGACCGCCGCAGAAACGAAAAAAAGGTCCGATCCGACATCACTGGTCGAACAACGATGACATTCGCAAATGAGCCTGTACATCATAACTCACGGTACACTGATAATACCGTCTGGATCCGGACCATGGGAATCTCAGGACACCCGCACGAACGGGTGGATGGATCCTTCTGGAACGAAATGATGACAATTTCGACCATGGCTGACGTCGCACGACGCCCGCCCACGGAACCTCGGTCAACCAGAAATCAGCGGCACAAACGTTGACCAACGGGAAAGCTGCGGGTTTGTAGTGTTCTTTCTGCCACGAATGGTCCCGTTCCTGGTGTACCCCGATCCATATTCGTCCCGCAATGGTGCCGCCATTTTCACGTAATCCCGGTTCTACATTCGTCTCATCTACGGCATGCCACGGCACAGCAGCTTTGTACCGTACCGACATCCACTTTCCGTCTCACCCAAGGTACATACCGTAAGATATTATACATAGCGGGACGCCAACATCGATGGAAAATTCTCCCGTTTTGGGCCGTTCGCGCGACTCACGCACGCGCACACGCGACTCTCCACTACAACATGAACAGCAACAATAATCGCAAGAACAACAACAACGACCATCCCAACGACGCAAAAATTGGGAGTTTTCGACGTCTGGCTGGGATCGCTCACAGGCCAAGGATTCTTCGGCCAATCGGATATTTCGGAACGTACCGAGAGCGTTACCATCATGAGACAAATTTCACCGAAAAGGGAACTGCGGGCTTGTAGTCTTCCGCCCTGGGTGACACCACCAGCAGCCGCCGACCACGGATTTTCCCAACCACTATTCAATCCCTCAGCAAGAAAAAACCCTATTTATCTCAGAAAATTTAGGGGCTCCTACAGCAGTTTTACATCTGTCCAGGAAGTCACCCCAAAGCGGGGACCCCTTTTTACAAGTCGCAATTCGAAGCGACCCCCCCCCCCCCCCCCCCCCCCCC